TAACAAAGATCCCCTTTACTCCCAAACAGTAGAATATTTCAGATCTTTCAAACCACATTTTCATGAATAATCAATACATGGTAAACCAGTTTTCTTTCAAGTACTTTCTGCTAAGGGGAAACCTTTGATTCCCCCCTTTTCCCAGCCCTTTGCACCCAAGAATCAGGAGCAGAATGATAAGGGGAAAAAATCTCCAGGTTTTCCTGCCTACTTAAATTCAACTTAGGGGACAGTGGAAATCCCTGGTTTGTAGGAAAGCAAGGTTCGCTGTAGAATCACAAAGTACCCCAACTAATTTAAATATGAAGCTTCATAAATTAACATAAGGATACACAAGATTTCAGTTTTATAAGACCCTGGGGGAAGTGGCGGGGGTGGGAGTCAAGGAAGTTCTATTTTGGCCTTTTCCACAGTTCAGGAAAGATTTATTTTTTTTAGTTTTATTTTTTTTTACAGCTAGGCAACGGGGTTAAGTGACTTGCCCAGAGTCACACAGCTAATAAGTATCATGTGTCTGAGGCCAGATTTGAACTCAGGTCCTCCTGAATCCAGGGCCAGTGCTCTATCCACTGTGCCACCTAGCTGCCCTGACTTATTTTTATTTTAACCAAACAGGAGCTCTAAAACCAAGAGCAGATTCTACAAGGGACTGCTTTAACTTCTGAATCTACAAGTCTATTAGAACACATCAAACTGACCAGATCCTTCTCTGAGTCCATCAGTTCTCTCAGTGGAGGTAGATAGTATATTTTATAATGATTCCTTTGGAATTGTAGTTGATCATTATATTGATCAGAGTTCCTAAGTCTTTCAGAATTGGTTGTCTTTACAATAGTGTTATTGTATAAATTGTTCTTCTGGTTCTGCTCACTTCACGTTGCATCAGTTCAAGTCTTCCCAAGTTTTTCTGAAATCAACTCTTTCATCATTTCTTATATCACAATAATATTCCATCACATTTATATTCCATAACTTGTTCATCCATCTCCCAATTAATTAGCATCCCCTCAGTTTCTAATTCTTTGCCACTACAAAAAGAGCTGATATTTTTTATACTTATGGGTCTTTTTTCCTCTTTCTTTCATCTCTTATGTATACTCCTTATAGTGATATTCTTGGTATAATAAGTTTAATACCTTTTTGGACATAATTGCAAATGCTTTCCAGAATGAGTAGATCAGTCCATAGCTCTGCCAACAGTACAGTAATGTACTGTTTTTCCACAGCCCCATCAAAATTTGTCTTTTTTCTCCTTCAACCTTATCAGTCTGATGGTATGAGTTATTTCAGTTTGAATAGGTGTTGTATCTTGTCAAAAGCTTTTTCCACATCTATTGAGATAATCATATGATTTTGTTGTTTTTGTTATTGATTTGGTTAATTACATTTATAGTTTTCCTAATACTAAATGAGCCTTGCATTCCTAGTATAAATCCAGCATGGTTATGATCTTTGTGATATATTGATGTAATCTCTTTGCTAGTATTTTATTTAAAATTTTTGTATCCATATTGATAAATATATATGAATACATATACACATATATGTATATATAACCATTGTTCAGTAGATAAATGGTCAACGGACCTGAACAGTTCCCAAGAGAAAAACTGCATACTATACACAACCACATGAAAAATGTTCCAAATCACTAACAATAAGAGCGATGTTGGTCAAAATAGTCCTGAGGTTTCTGAAAATTGGCAAAATGACAAAAAATGTCAACAGTTAAATGTTGGATGAGTTGTGGAAAGATGGGCACATGAATACATCATTTGTGGAGCTATGAAATGGCACAACCATTTTGGAAAGCAATTTGGAATTATGCAAATAAAGTCACTTAAAATGTCCCTGAGATTCCATTACTGGGCATATACCCCAAGTAAGCCATCAATTAGAAAAAGTCCCCATATACTCCAAAATATTTATAGCAGCCTTTTTTGTGATAGCCAAGAATTGAAAACAAAGTAGATGCCCATTGATTGGGGAGTGGCTAAACAAATTACATGAATGTATAAAGTATATGAATGTAATGGAATATTTCTGTACTGTAAGAAATGATATATGTAATGGATACAGAGAAGCACTGAGGGATCTATATGAACTGATGCCCAGTGAAATCATCAGAGCCAAGAAAACAGTATACACGGTAACTACAATGATGTAAATGGAAAGAATGAGGACACACCAAAAAGTCAGAAGTAAATGTAGCAAAATTATAAACATTAAGTGGAACTTGAATGAAGAGAGATGAGGAAACACCCCCATCTGCCTCGTGGTGGAATTGTAGGGGAATCCACGTTTTCAGACTTTTTCAATATATCTCTGTGGGTTCATTGGTAGAAGGGTTATTGTCACTTTGTTTTAGTTAAGCAAACTAAGGCCCAGGCAAATGAAGTCACTATATACTACATGTACAATAGGGAACCATTGTAAGCTTTGGAGCAGGGGAGCATTTGGTGATCCATGTTCTAAATTAACTTTATAGGAAGGTTTTTTTCCTCCTAAGATAGCCTGTAAATTCTCAGAAGGCTTGCCTTGTATCTGTTTGTCTTCTAGTACACAGATCTACACCCAATAAGTATGCAAAAACCTGACTTTCTGTTCAAATTCTCTCTTACTCCCTTCCACAAATCATATCTTAGTTAAGCTGATTAGCTCAGAATTCCCTAAAACATATGCTTCCATGATTTCCTCTGCCTGGAATACCCTCCTCATTGCAACTTCTCAAACTACTGCTTAGCCTTTAAGGCACAGCTCACATGGCCATGTCTTCAATGCCTTCCCTCCTGTTCTCCCTGCTCAATACCCTTAGCACATTGACATGGTGCCACTTGTATGGTATAACATTACTGGTTTGTCTAGTGAGCTTCTTGAAGACATAGGCATCATGTCTAGATCCTCATCCCCTCTCACTTGGACAATTATAATGGCTTCCTAATCAATCTTGCTATATCCAGCCTCCACCCAGCTGCCAGAAGCAGCTTTCTAAGGCACATCTCTAACTATGGCCTTCCCTTGCTCAAGATTCTTCAGTGGTTCCTCATTGCCTCTAGGGCCATATACAAACCCTCAGCCTGGTTTTTAAGACCCTACAGAATCTGGCTTCAACCTAACTTTCTAGCTTTATCTCATATGTCATACCTCAATGCCTTTAGTAGTCTGTGTTACAGCCAAACTGGACCATAGAATCTACATGCTGTCTCCCACCTCCATGCATTTAAGTTCAGGTGCCTTCTCTGAGTCTTCTTGTTGTTGATACTCTCACCATATTCCAATTCCCCTGTATTTCCTTATCTGTGGAATCTTATATTACTTCTGATAGAATAGGGCAGCTAGGTGGTGCAGTGGATAGAGCACTGAACTTGGAATCAGGAAAACTCATCTTCATGAGTTCAAATCTGGCCTCAGATACTTACTAGCTGTGTGACCTTGGGCAAGTCACTTCATTCTGTTTGTCTCAGTTTCCTCATCTGTAAATGAGCTCATGAAGTAAACAGTAAACCACTCCAGTATCTTTGCCAAGAAAACCCTAAATGGGATCACAAAGAGTCAGACATGACTGAAAATGACTCAACAAAAAAAAAAATGAGGGCAGTGCCTATTCTTTGTCTTTGATTCTGCATTCCCATGGCCCAACAGAGGGCCTCGTACAGATGGTTATTGAGTTGAACTGAACTATATTACTGACAGCACCTTTGTGGAGGGTCTTACACATTATAGGTGTTCATTCAGTATTTGTGAATGGAATAAACTAATACAGTATCTGTATAGCACATCAGTTCTGTAAAGGGATATAGCATTATTTAGGGAAACATCGTACCAGCTGGATGTTTGGAGGCTGGTTTTAAAGGAGGTATTGACCATGACTTGGGAGTGGAGATGGCTTGACCAGGGCAGGGGAAGCAGCAAGCATATGAGCTTGGCATGCAAAGAAAGAATCAGATCCAAGCAGCTTCACTTCCCATACACCTCAAACTCATGCAGTTGAAGGTGGGGACTAGCAGGCAAAAATCAGTATTTTAGGGCAGGAGTTAAAAGTTAGTGGAGCCTGGCATCAGTGGGTGGTCAGTGCTCTTCACCTCTGCTATGGGGTGATCCAGTAGAACTGTTTAGGGCTTATGAAGGCCTTGTCTTCATTACTGCTGTGTCACAGAGATTTCCCAAATCACCACCAGGGCCCAGGATCTGTAAGGTGAAGCAAGTATTCCATGTTGTCAGCTGATGTGCCCAGTGGCGTTATGAGGTGCTTTCTAAGTACAGAAGCCTATGGGTCTTCCCACTTGGGCACCTTTGTATAGGCTCTTCTCATCCTTGCCTAGTGGAATCACTAACTTCCTCCAAAGCACCCTCCAAAGTCAGTATCTTCGTACCTTCCTGCAAATTATTTTGTATTTATACATATGTATGTGTGTGTGTGTATGTGTGTGTGCACATATATATATATATATATATATATATATATATATATATATATATATGTATGTATATAAAGCTAGTAAATAAATATATGTACACACATATATACATATATTTTTGCCATTTTTGTCTGTGTACGCCCACCAGTATTCACATGGCCTATCACACTCAATAAATCAAACTTATCACAGTCACTCAATAAATGCTGATTGACTTGAATTGAGGGCCCTATATTCTGGTACTTCAGAGACATGGTAAACTATAAAGTGCCTTTGTCAATACAAGAGTGGAAGGGACAAGAAAGAATGTGAAAAAAAGCTATGGGACTAAAGCCACATATGACAGGGCCCCAGGCTTTTGGGAGGAAAAGACATCCACACCTTGGTAACGCTCATCTCAACTTTTCTCCTGCCTGCAAACCAGCTTGAGAAGATAGGGTTTTTAGGGTATCCATAAATGTGTTCCAGGATCTTCACCTTGATGGTCCCTAGTTGGGGTTGTGGATTACTTTCTGAATCTCTGAATTTTCAGTTTTGCCAAACAAATTTCTGTATTGTCAATATTCTCTGTCTCTTTCCCAGAACTATGCTATGCTGGCACTGTGATGAGATTTGATTATGTTTGGCTCAGAGATCACTGTCACTCAGCATCTTGCTACAACTCCAAGACCAATCAGCGCAGCTTGGATACTGCTAGTGTGGACTTGGGCATCAAGCCTCAGACTATCCGTATGAATGAGACCATGCTCTTTCTCACATGTAAGTAAATTCAGGATTGATAAGTGTAGCCAAGAAGCATTTAATAATAATGATGATAATGATAAGAAGAAGAATCACAGAATTGGAGAATTGGAAATGATCTTGGTGTGCCATTGAGTCCAATTCCCACTATAACAGATCCAGCAAGTGGTCCTTCAAAGGCCACTTGAAGAGCTCCCAGGAATGGAGATCCCACCACCTCTCAAAGCAGCTCTTCCATTTTTGTTAAAAAGTTTGTCCTGATATCAATTATAAATTAGCCTCTTTGCAACTCCTACTCATTGCTCCTGGTTGTGTCCTTCTCATGAGACAAAACAGATCTAATCCCTGCTCCACATGATCCCCCTGAGTGTTCTCTTCTTCAAGCTCAACTTGCCCAAGTCCTTCAGTAGATCTTCCTATGGAATGGACTTAAGGCCTTTCACCGTCTTGGTTGCCCATGCCTACAATGGGGAAAGACTGGAGCCAGGCAGACCCACTCAAAGGCTATTGCAATAGTCCAAGGGTGAGGTGTTGAGGGCCTGCACCAGGGTAGGGGCAATGTCTGAGAAGAGAAGGAAGCATATTTGAGAGATGCTGTAAAGGTGAAATCGATAGGCCTTGGCAACAGCCTAGATCTGGGGAGTGAAAGTGTGGGGTTCAGGATGATACCTAGGTTGCCAGCCTGAGGGACCAGGAGGATGGTTGTACCCTCTAAAATAATAGGGAAAGTAGGGCTTAAGGGGAAATATAATGAGTTCTGTTTTGGACATAGGAAAGAGTTTCAGATGTCTCCTAGACATCCAGTTTGAGATGTCTGAAAGACAGTTGGAGATGTGAAATTGGAGGTCAGAAGACAAACTCTGTCTTATTCACAAGAATAGGAACTTAATCAAAAGCTTTGGTAAGATTAGATAAACTGTCTCCACAGTATGCCTATTATCCTCTAGTCAAGTGACCCTTTGAGAAAAGAAAATGACGTTAGTCTGGCATGACCTGTTCTCATCACTTCCTTCTCTAGGTGTTTGCCAACCATCTCTTGAATGATCTATTATAGATTTTTCACTGAAGTCAAAGTCAAGCTCAGTGGTCTGTACTTCTCTTCCCTCTTTTGAAAATTGGAACATTTGGCCTTTTCCAATCTTTATTTTTTATTATGTTTTTATTTTTATCTTTTTTATTTTAGAGTTAAAAACTAAAACTTAAATATATAATAAGAAAAGAAAAAGAAGCATCTTATAAACTTAAATATTAAAACTTAAATACAAAATAAGAAAAGAAAAAACATGTCATGTGCATAGCAGAAAGTAAGAGGATTAAATATATGTTCAATAATTCAATAAATAAATAAATTCAAAATATATAGCAGTAAATTTCCATTTCAAGAAAGCCTATGTAATAAATACTACACATTGTGTTGACAGCTATCTTTTCTTTGCTCCCTTGTAAGTTTTCTTTTGTTCTCTGTTGTGCCCTTTTTACTTTGTTCTTTTTTCCTCCTTTCTCACCCCCCAAAGCTACAATTAAGCACAGATATATTTATACATAGATATATACATGCCTATATACATATATACATACATACAAAAATACATACTTTCCCTAACAAATTCTACTCCTGATCTTTGTTTTCATGTTGGCGCATATCTCATTTCCTATCCCTCCTGACTCCTCTACTTTGCTTCTACCCACTACCTTGCCCTCCTATTACTTAACCTACCCCCCTATCCCTCCCTTATCCATCCATTCCCATAAATCTAAACACCCTTTTATACCTCCCTTTGACCTATTCCCTCACTCTCCCCTATAGAGATCCCTCCCTTATCCTCTTCTTCTCCCTATTCCCTTAGTGTTTTATTTCTTTCTGAATTTAGAAGACTTTTATACTTTTCTGGCCTTTCCCAATTTTGTGTTACCATGGCTTTGAAATTGTAAATGTCAGCTCTTCTAGTATCAGAGAATATAGTTAATCTGGGCCAAGTGATTGGTTAAATCGCAGGAGCACTAGGTGCTTTCTTACATCCCCTTATTTCTCTTACATAGCACCTGTCTTTTGCCATTTTTGACTTGTTACTTTCCCTTTAAAGGCCCCTCTCCTTGCCAGAGCAAACAGAAGACAGATCAGAATTAAACAGCTCTGCCTTCTTTCTATTGGTAGTTCTGTCCTTTCTTGAGCTTTCTTTTTTTTTTTTTCTGCACTCATAGCTTGAAAAACTCACACCTTTTTGTTGTCCTTACTTTCCCTTGCTGGCCTCAGTTCTGTCTAAGGGTTAGCACTACTGACTTTATTTTTACCATTGGGTCATACTCTCACAGTGGAAAGAGTTTTGGAGCTAGAGGATCTCAGTTCAAATCTCAGCTTTGTCACTTAATATCTGGTGATCCTGATCATGTCATTTAGCCTCTTTGTGCCTCAGTTTCCTCCTCTGTAAAATGAGGGGATTGAAATAGATGACCTTTAAGGTCCCTTTCAACTCTAAACCTATGATTCTTAGAACTGATTAATTACTATCCATATGGCCTTTCCTTACTAGAGTTCTGCTGGCACCATGGATAGCTCCTAGCCTGAGCTATAAACCCAGAAGTTGATCTTACCCAGGGAGTTGGGCCCATATGAATTCATGCTTTGGAGGAATGAACACTATCATGTGGTTGGAGGGTCAGCTGGAAATCCCTTCAGGGCAAAAGGGGGCAGGGAATGGTCACCAGAACCAGAAGTACTCTATAAAATTTGGCCAATTTAATTCAAGCTGTTCATAGCCACTCATCCATAGGAGTTCTCCACAAGCCATTCCAAGATGGACAAGAAAGAATGGTTGGTCTCCCAGCTGCCTAGACAGGTCACATGCTATAATAATAAGGAAGCAAAGCTGCTGCTGAGCAGTTTTATGAAGCTCTTTTCTGCAGGGAATCAAGCCTCATTAAGCCACTCCCTGCCTCAGTTAATAGCCAGATCCATATATATCCCACTGAAAACATCCTAGCCCTGGCTGCAGAGGAGCCCATGAAGATTGGTGGTATCACTAAGATAGGTTTATTAGGAATTGAAATTAGCCAGGAAGATCTGGCACTATGCCAAGAGGCCCATATTTATACTGTGGGTTTTCTGAAGCACAACTTCCTTGCCAAGGGACTAGAAACCAAATGATACAAGGTGGGTGGGTGGAAAGAGAGAAAGGAGGGTGAGGAGAACAAAGACTTCATGATGAGAGGCCCTGAGTAGAACACTACTTTCACACTGCTGGTGTCCCAGGCCCTATTATGCATTCTGGGCCAGTGACTCATGCTCCAAATGGGAACAAAATATCATTTATAGGCCATCTAACCCTCAGTGAAAGGCATTTTACTCCACAATTACACAGAAAGCATATTCAATAATGATTCAGCATCATTTCAGGTAGGTGCAGCTCCCTCCTCATTTGCCACTGTGACACACTCTCAGAATTCAGAAGACTACATGAATTTGTACAGCAATGGATACCTGTCTAACTGGAAGTGCCTAGGAAGCTGCATCAACACTTTGAGCCTTGGTCGCCTTAGCCTATTAAGTCTCAAGGATAGTTTTGTTGCCTTCTTAGGTAAGTTTTAGGAAAATTAGTCTATACGATAGGGACCTTCTTGCCTTTTTAGGCCATTAATTTTTTTTTTTAAAGCACTTGCTACGTACTTACTTACTATGTGCCAACCACTATTCTAAACACTGGGGATACAAATACAAAACCAAAACCAGTCATTGCTCTTAAGGGACACTTTTTTAAAATTAATTTTTTTAATCAATAAAAAAAATCACCTTCCCATTTTATCCCTCCTCTTCCCCAGCCCCCATGAGAAAAATAAAAGTTATAAACAGGCAGAGTCAAGCAAAACAAATTCCCATGTTGGCCATGCCACTAAAACTAAGTCTCAGTTTCCACTCTGAATCCACTACTTCTCTGTCAGGAGGCCGTGTTTCATCATAAATCCTCTGGAATTATGGACGGTTATTATGGTGATCATAATTCCTAAGTATCTCAAAGTTGTTTGTCTTTACAGTATTGTTATTGTTAAATTGTTCATTTTGCATCAGTTCTTACAAATCTGTTCAAGTTTTTCTGAAGCCATCCCCTTCATCATTTCTTATAACACAATAGTATACCATAACTTGTTCAGCCATTCCCCAAAGGATGGGCATCTCCTCAGTTTCCAATTCTTCTACCATAAAAAGCTGCTATAAATATTTTTGTACATATAGTTTCTTTTCTTCTTTCTTTGACCTCTTTTGTCTATAAAGCTAGTAGTGCTATCACAAGGTATGCACAGTTTAATACCTTTTGGGGCATAGTTCCAAATTGCTTTCCAGAATGGCAGGACCAGTTCACAGCACCACCACTAGTGCAGTAACTACCTGTTTTCTCACAGCCCCAATGGCATTTGTCATTTTTCCTTTTTTTTCTCAACCTTGTCAATCTGATGGTATGAGTTATTTTAATTTGAATTTCTCTAATTATTAGTGATTTAGAACATTTTTATATGGCCAGTGATAGCATGGATTTCTTCCTCTGAAAACAGCTATTCATATCCTTTGATCATTTATTAGTTGGGGAATGGCTTTTATTCTTATAAATTTGAATCAGTTCCCTTTATATTTTAGAAATAAGAGCTTAGAGAACTTTACTGCAAATCAGTTTCCTGTTTCTTTTCTAATTAGCTACATTGATTTTGTTTTGCAAAATTTTCTTGTTATCCCTTGTAAATCCATCTGGCCCTAGGGTTTTTTCTTTGAGAGTTCACTTATGGCCTGTTCAGTTACTTTTTGTGAGATTGAGCTATTTTAGCTATTCTGTTAATCTGTGCATTTTCTATTTTTGTAAATATTCATCCATTTCATCTAGATTGTCAATTTTATTGGCATGTGATTGGGTAAAATATTTTCTATTAATTTATTATGTGAATTTACCCTTTCATTTGTGATGCTAGAGATTATTTTCTTTTTTAAAAAAAATCAAATTAGTTAATAATAGTTTATTTTTTTTTCAAAAGAG